ACACACACACACACACACACACACACACACACACACACACACACACGCCGAGCAAAATTTTTCACTGTTTACTCTGAGTTCTTAGTGTCCTTTTATCAGATGAAAACAGCTTTATTCATATTATTCACATCTCAGAGTGTGAAAAGTACAACTCAAGGATTTACATGTTTTTTCAAAAGATTAAAAAAGGGACGAGATCTTCTCGTCCTACTGAGCACAACGAAGCATTGCCAAAATATGAGAATATTCAGTCAAAAAGAGTTAAAGAAAGTGAGATAAAACAAACTTTTCTGTCACAAACACTGCAGACAGTAAAACAATACACAGTAACTTTAGTCCTGCTGTAAAACTAACAGAACAATCTGTTATTCCAGGTAGTTATTGGTAATCTGTCATTAGTGTTGTTTTAGATAACTAAGGAAATTGAGTGAGTACATCAAAATGTCAAAATCTGATTTTAAACATTTTAGTAATTTACAGGAAAGTCTTAATCTTTAACTGTATCTAACAACAGCAGCCTAAAGGTCTGGTTATAATTTATCAGGATTCATGAGCACCTGTCCTTTTACCGCTGGACCATCAAGTGACCTTCTGGAAACTTTTTGTTTTTTTACAGTGTACCTGTGGTCCAGCGTTGCACTTCTGTATTAAAAAGCGTACAATATGATATCAGTGTGAAAATGTGAAGTAATTTTGGCCTCATGCCCTTCCTTCACCCAGACGCCAGTGCTCTCTTTGAAGAGAATTTGCTGCACACTCAAAGAGTCATGCTATTTTTTTTCTAATAATAATGATTTACAATTTGTTTGCAAAAAATAGCTACCCATGTGTTAGGACACAAGTTTCGGAGCTCATGGGTCAAATCTGGCCCTTGTTAACATTATCTGGCCCCAAAAGTAACACTTTTAACTGTGAAATAGTTTTATGGTTTCTCTTTTTGTCTGTGTGTTCAGTGCATTGTTCTCATGACAGCTGGCCAACTTTCAGGCCAGGAAAATAAGGTTTGATGTTTTTAGTAATCTTTGATTTTGATGTTAAAAAATTAACAGATATTTGACTTTAATTTTTTTAAATTTTATTCTTATTTTAAAGGCAAATAATCAGATTTTTAGTGAGTTGTTTTACCTGATTTGGTGGATTGTGATAAAAATGCATCTCTACGATACAGTAGCAAAAATGAAAAAGTTGTTGCTAGAGAGTAAGACAAAATAAGAAAGCTAATGATGAGTATTTCTAAACTTATTAATTTTTTTCTTTTTATGTATGCGGTTATGTATTTTATAAATGCTACACAAAGCATAATTTGGAAACATTATTTGTATTTCTAGAAGAATAATTTGTTATTAAATATTTGTCCCTTGGCTTGGACAAATTTTTAAATTTAGTACACCTTGTGTTAATGGGTTTGATGCCCCAGTGTTAGTATTAAATTTGGGCCATGGTCAGTAACACTCTGGTGAATCTAAATGCTGTAAGTCATTGAATTGACTCTTGTCACCAAGTTTTACCCAAATAAACATCTGTTTTTTATATTGTTTGTCTTTTAGGCAACTGCAGCAGAGAAGCAGCTCTATGCTGTCCTGAAGTAGGACATATTTGAGAATGGAAGATAAGGGAGATAATCAAAAAGAATAAAAAAAAATAAGTAGGTCCTCTGGATGGGTTCTTCTTTAATAAAACGTTTCCTCTCTCCTCCAAGAGACTTCTTCAGTCTGAGGAGTTTCAGGTGAACTCAGCCTTATAAGCACTGCCACATGGTGGACAAACAGGTTGGTCACATGCAAAAGAGGACCATCAGTCAAACAATAGGTTGTTAGTGCCTTGATTGGCTCGACTGTTCATAGAGGCTCCACCAAGTGACTATCGTTGAGGCCCTGATTCACACCTTTTGCTCACAGGAGGCAGAGTCATACTCGCAATAACAGCAATAAGGGAGATAAACAATTTGACAATATCAGAATCAGACACAGATGAAGCTGAAATGTCAAAACCCAGAGCATGGACAAAAAAAAAAGAGATCTCTGATGATCAACATTAAGGAAAGAACAAAATTGCCAACTTTGTGTAGAAAACCTGATAGTTATTTTGAAGACACTCAAGTATGCAAATTGTCGTTGTTAGTCTTTGTTCTGTTTTTGACAAATTGATTGTTACAGAAACTAGTCTGTAGATTGTTGAGTATTAAACACAGACAGACAGAGTGTTTCTTTTTGATAATGGAAGAGTTGAAGAAGGAATATATTATCCCTGTTATTTCTTTTGTTAATCGAGGAGAAGCTTTATTTTGTAAATTTGTCAAAAAAAGACTGCCACCTTGACAAACAGCTGCCCAGCCGAGGCACGCTCAGTCTCAGTCTACAAAGCTGATGGTTCTCACAGTTGTTTCCTTCAGCTTCTCAGTGGATGCTGCTCAAAGATCAGCTTACTGAAGCCGCTTTACAAAAATATTCACAGAGTTCTGACCAAACACGCAAAGCTCAGTGCAATGCAAAAAAATGGGGTTTCAGCTGTGGAGGACCGAAACTGACATATTTAAAAATAAAACCAGAAATTTTTGAATGGTCCAATAAATCCAGTTAAAATACATCAATCTGAAGGGGCCATCTGCACCTCCACTTTAAGCACAGCAAACCAGAACATCCAGGCTGTAAGACACGAGAATGGGACTTGTCACTGAGTACACAAGCTTAAGAGGACCTGGCAATGAGATGCAGAGACCAAGGATTATATGAAAGTGGAGTGATTACTGAGAGAGAACAGCTGGACTGATGAGCAGAAACAGGGCAGGTGAGAAATACGTGCTGGAAAACAACTGGTAAATGATACAGGGTAAGTTCAGAACTGAAAGAAATGGACTGGCTGGCTTAATAATAACATGACATAATCTTTGCTAATTTGAAACATCCTGGCTGTCAGATGTTTGACTTCAGCCTTTGTATATCTGATATTCGCACATGAAATACTTGTCAAATCTCCTTTGCCATTGCAGTTTATTTTGCTGTTGTTGACACTTGTTTTGAGCTTCTGGTACATCGAGGTGCTGTTAGTCAGGTGTATAAGGTTTATTGCCAAGCAGCAGTGTTACAACAAAGAAATAATCCACTAAACACATTTTTTCTTACTTTTTCTGCTAAGTTTAGATTTTAATCAAATTAAAAAGTTAAACAAGAACACACCCACATGTTGTCTACCTCTGACAGATGCAACAGACAGAAAAACAGCTTTGTTTCTTTTGTTTTTGACACAGTACATCTGTTTGTCTTCTGAGGAAGATTTTTCTAAATTCATTACATTTAACTGGTTTATTCAGAACTTTTCTAAAGGTTCTGGGGAGGAGTGATCATTTCAGTGGTGGAAGTCGTCCTGTAACCTGTGGGTTGCCGATTCAATCCCTCATATAATTTGTCTCAGTCACTGTGCACTTTGGCAAGACACTTCACCCCACTTGCCTACTAATGTTGGGCAGAGGGTCTGGAAGTGCCGGCTCCACCTCTACCAGCATGCCCAGGGCAGCTGTGGCTACAATGTAGCTTACCACCACCAAGCATCCTGAAAAAGTGCTAGATAAGTTTAATGTATTATTATTATTATTATTATTATTATTATTATTATTTTGCAATATATGGAGATGTTTGGGGCTGTGTATGTGCGTACATGTGTGTATGCATTTATGTGTGTATGCAAATACACTAGATGTACGTTCATGAATACATTCTGGTATTATATAAAATTCTAGGTAAATAGATTGTTGTTTTAATCTTTATGAAATTGTAACTTAGAATAAGAAAAAAGAAGAATTTACTATTATTTTTTGTTAATAAGCTTCGGAGAAGGGTGGGATTAAATCAGTTTTTGACTTCTTCCCATTCCTTTTCAAATATATTAATTTTGTTAATTTTGTTATCACTTTTTATCATTTTTTGTTTTATATACATGTTTGAAATAAACTAACTAACTAAGTAACTAACTATTATTATTGCTGTTGTTGTTTATATCCCTGATGCGAGTTAGAAGAAGACGGACTCTCCAGCCCACAGCTTGTGCTGTTCTTTGCACTCACCTGATAATGTGGAAAATGGCAGATATGAGTAGCTCGTTGTAGATGGCCACAGCGATGTATCGAGGCTCATTAAAGGCTGAGGGTACGGTGCGGACAGCATAGCACAGGTACACCCCCCAGAGCAGGAACAGGAACTCAGCTGGAACAAGGACAGAGAGTGGTATTAAAGGGATAGTTCAGCCATTTTGAAGTGGATTTCTGTGGAAAGGTTAAGGTTTATTATCTTACATGTTGTAAATATCTCCCTGAATGACCCCAGTTTGGAGAAATGGTTTAGGATTGATAAACTGATTAGCTAAAGCAGGGGTGTCGAACTCATTTGCACCAAGGGCCACATAAGCGTTATGGTGACCCTCAAAGGGCCAGTTGTTCCCATGGATGATCGACACACATTATGGGAGATTAAGTTTCTGGTCGATGCTGGATTTAAAGCAGCTTATTTTAAGACATTATAAGACATTATTACTGAGCTGTAGGGGTCGCCTCAAGTGAAGAAACAAGATTTACTGCCTCGAAGCAGGCCTCGGACAGGCCTGACGAGAGGACAGGAACTCTGTCACAAACTGAACTCGATTTAGGCCATGACAGGTCATTCTAACTGTGGAAGAGAACCCCCCAGTTCTCTTAATCAGATAATGGACAGAACAATCTCTTCTGTTCGTGATTCATTTGTTGTTTAACTAAGAATGTTTATGCATTTGTTAAATCATGATAATGACTGTCACAGGAAAAGTGGAACCACTTCTTTTCTTTTATCGTGCCTTAAAGATTTATAATGGTATAAAAATCACAGAGAATCTGGTTACAATGTTTTCATTGTGTTTTTATGTAAATCACTGTTTTTATTTTACAGTGAAGACAATAATATAATTGTGGATTTTTTCATGAGAAACTCTTTCATTTATCTGGACTAACAGAAGGTTCAGAACTGATTATAAAACAGAAATGTTAATTAATCATCATAAATGTTTTGCAGTGATTTCTCTTAGTCTATCAGAAGAAAGCTGAAAAGAGGTTATCATATCATGTTGTTGAACAACCACAGAATTTTAACCTTGGGCTGGCGCCGGCTGGCAAATCTTTATCTTTCTTTCCCTGACTCATCTCTAAGCCTGAGGGCGGAACCAAAGTTCATCCATTTCTTTTACTAACCCGGACGGCTTTGAGCGGCACACTCTTCTTCCTGATTCCAACCTAGGAAGACAGCTGGGATTCTCTCCGGAGAAACCTCAGTTTGGCTTAAAGTCTGATCCCATGAGCTAACTAGGGAAGACTTCACAGCCAATCTAACTAAATTGCTCAGTTACATATAGCCAACAGCTCAGGGGCAGGATAAGTACTATTAATAATAAATATTAATTTAGTTCTTATAATTTTTTAATTAGAAAATAATCTAAATGAAAGATAAAATGTAAGTCTCTTCTTTGAACTTGATGCTACTTCTGGAAAAATACAAAAGTTTTAGTGATTGACTGAATTTTAAAGAGACAGTTCATATATTGTCCATTTGTTCATGTACTTCCTGACAGCAATTTCCAGAGAAGATACATTTTTAAAAAACATCTGTTTTGTTACTTATGACAGATTTCACAAAGAACAATCCAGTGTTTGTGCAAAGATTAGCTAACTCATCATCTAATTTGTCAGTATAATTTAATATTTAAGAACATTGGTAGCAAAAGGAATGGTTTTTGTCTGGCTTCTTACACTGTATGAAACTGAGTCAAAATATTTTTTGCCAGGCTCATTTAAGCATCTTTTATTACTAGTAGAAACAACACACTTTTTTTTCCAGATAAATCTTTGTAGTTACATTGGGCCTCATGCAAGAACCGTTCGTACGCACAGATTTGTTCTTAAGTTGTGCGTACGAGTGATTTAGGAGAATTTGTGGCATTCACCAATGTTTTCGTATTCTAAGATTTTTTTCAGATACGAACAAAATTTACGAGTGGTCCAGACCTGTCGTATATTTTACGTGAAGTCAGTCTGCTGTTATCCAGATGGGTTTTCCTCCCTAATAACTTTATATTTCGTTAGTTTGAAGATATTTTAAGTTGAAAATAAATCACACTCCATAATTATGTTGACAATAGGCTATTCTGCTTGAATTAGAGTTATAATTTTAAATGTAATAATTTAGACTAACAATATAAATTGTCCGTCCGTCTGTTTTCTGCCGCTTATCCGAGATCGGGTCATGGGGAGCAGCAGGAGACCCCGCTCTCCCCAGCGACACCTTCCAGCTCGTCCTGGGGGACATCGAGATGTTCCCAGGCCAGAGGGGATACATAATCCCTCTAGCAAGTCGTAGATTTTCTCCAAAGTGCCAGACATATTTTGAAAACATTTTAAAATGCTTATTTCAGAACTGCAACTGAGGCCACCTGCGACCGCGCGGGGGGGTACGGTGCGCAGCGCTGCCGCTTCTGAATAAATGAAAAATGATTTAACACAGTTATTTATACTTTTAGCAGCTCTTTTTATTCCACAGCTGACCTGCTAAAAATGACAGATTTTATTTTCTGGATCTCTGACAGACGGACTTCAATCTCTGATCTCGTAAAGTTCTTCTTTTTAATTTTCGCTGTCATTTTCATGAATGGACACTTCCTTGTATCTGAGGCAGGAATCATAGCCTTATATGGTGTTTTTGGGGTGGTAATTATGCTAATCTCCTCTCGCGTGCACGAGCAGCTGGATATGAACAGGTGTAATTCATTTACACACTTTTCCTGAAGATAGAAGAGTTTGTTGAATCTGACATGGCATGTTCGTACGAATCCTTCGTACGAACAAAAGTAAGAGAAATTTAGGATAAGAACACGAACATGTTCTTGCATGAGGCCCAATGAGACTAACTTTCACAGGCCCCGCAAACAGCACAGAATAAATCCTACAAAGCAGATTTGAGAGGAGCTTCCTGTCCTTGGTGCAGCCAGCAAGTGAACAAACACGGCTTCCCTACGTCTCCTACACAAAGTCATTGGAACAACTGGAGAGACTCAAGCCTGTTTTATTTTAAATGTGTTTGTTTAAAGTTGTCGCTGCCCCACAGATCCACATACATGCTTCTTCTGAAGCAGCCAGCTTGTCTCTGTCCAATCTCCAGAGTGTCCTTAGCTGTCTTGCCTCTGCAGGCTCCCATCGTCTCGTCTTCTTCTGAAGTTCTGTTGGTAGAAAAAGCTCGCTCTGCATCGTTGGCCACATCCCCACAAGCTGCATACTTCACAGCCTCCTTTCTTCTCTTTTCCTGCCACTTTCACCCTCTCCGTCTGCCTGTCTGTCAGTTTTCAGAGGCAGACCAAGTCTCTCTCTCTCTCAGGGATCCATCACTTCTCTCTTTCCAAACAGGATTAGTCTCCCCTGCTGTCAGACTTAGCCTCAGAGAAGTGCACATCACTGCCTCCTGCTTTAATCTGTCATTGAACAGGTTGTAATAAATTACACATTCAAGGCCATCTGGGTCACCTGGACAGGCAATTTCCTCAGATTTCCTCTTTGCTTGTTATTGGGGAAAGGGTGCATAAGTTTCACATTTGAATTCAAAATGTTACTCCTACACTTTGGCTCTTTATTCAGAAAGATGAGCCGGAAAAAAACTTTCACTGCAAAATTGCTAAGGTGGTGTAGACCCAAACAGAAAGAGTTACCAAGCTGAAGCAGGCCAGTTAAACTGAGAAATAATTTTACTAATTGAAATTGCTGCAGGGCAGAAAATACAAGAGACTTCGGGTGTAAATTCACAGATTTTCTGAACAGACGCATGAGGTGAGAAAGGTCCTGCAAAGACATGAAAACTGGGTCTAAAATTCAAGCAAAGATAATCAACTTCTGTTTAACAAAAATCTGTTTAACAACCTGTTAAAATACACCAAAATGCAGGAAATGGCATTTACTTCTTTAAAAATTTTCTGGGGGGCCCGGGCTGGGGGCGCACCACCCTCCCGGCCCCCCCTGAAGCTCCACCCCTGTATCTTTGTGTTTACAATTAGTCTAGTCCCATTGGAGTTGTTGGTCGTGTCCCCCCAGTGGTCTGGTGCACTTCTGTTATGTGTTTTGAACTTGCAGCCTTTTTCTAACATGCAGTCTGTTTTTAGAATGCATCCTTTCCTTCATCCATTCATTTTATTTATTATATAAATGGCACTGCACATAGAACTCAATAACATTAACATAAACAGATAACACTTTGCAGTGTCGTTTTCTTGCATTTGTTGTTTGTGTTTGCGTTTTGAAGTTTGCAAGATTTTCTAACATGCAGTCGGATTTATAAATGCATAATTTTTACTTTGCAGCAGTTTTTTTAAATTTGCATCATCAACACGCAGTTGATTTTATGAACGCATCGTTTTTACATTGCAGCATTTATTTCTTTGAACTTGCATCATTTTTCTAACACGCAGATGATTTTATGAATGCATCGTTTTTACTTTTCGGCATTTTTTCCGTTTGCAAAGAATTTACTCTTTGCTGCGCATTTGCACCTGTCGGCCACCGTAATAATAGACCTCACAGTTTGAAACATGTTCAAAGTCAAATTTTGGGTCAAATTTTGTTGAGAGTGACTGTCCATCAGGACTTTGAAAGTAAAGTTAGGACTTGTCTTGGAACAAAACATGGCCTTTTGTTCAGTTTTTCTCAACAAATCTTGCAATATGTAATATTAAAATTTAACAAATCTGGAATCTTTTTCCTTTTTTTGTTTTGAAGAATTGTTTACTTTTATGAACTCTTGGCAGACGTTTTTTCTCTGCTTTTGTAGCACTCCAACTCCCTGTACAAGGAAACCCTGTCACTGTTAAGTTTCATGTTGTGTATGAAAAGTTCCAGTGGGCATTCTTCTATTGCTTTTCTAACTGTTCAAACCCATTTAAGTCAGTATTTAAAAAGTGTGTGGGAAGAAAGCTTTTGGGATGAAGTTTCAGCAAGGAATAAAAGAATAGAAAGGGCAGAGATTAACTAACACGTGAAGAAACTAATGATAGTATTCAGGAGTAGATAAAATAAGATAAAATCAAATGTAAATTAAATGGCTGCCTTTTTGCTTATATTTTTGTCTTAATTGCTTTGATTTTCCCTGAATAAAAATAAATTAAAGACACACTCACCGACTGCCATCATGTAGTCCCATCGGTCCAGCAGACACGTGCTGAACTGCAGTCCTTCTGGGGTCAGGCCCGTTGTGATTAGAGCTTGACTCAGTTGCGGATTCTGGCACACAGCCGAGGTCCAGGCCACCAGAAACCAAAGCACCACCAAGACAATCACTGCCAACAGCCGCAGAACCCGCCAGCTGGTCATATAAGGCGTCCTCTGGGCCGTGCGGGACAGGAAGACCATTAACACTCTGTGAAGGTAGCGTGAGGAGAAGGACAGAGGTCAGAACAGTCAAATCTCAATAAATGTGTAATTGAAATGTTAATATCAACATAAGATGGGAAATTGCCACTTCTGCTGCAATTTAGAATTTAACTTCTCAGCTGTTGTTTATGCTCTAATTAACACATCTGAATTTTAAAAAAATGGTAAGAAGATGCACCTTTACATTTTAGTCATGTTTATACCTACAAAAAATAAATTAAATGGTGGAACTCAAATGAAACTGCACATTTTAATCTTCCTCTTGTGTTAGCTCTCTGTTACTATTCTTGATAGAAATTTGTTTCATAGCTCTGGATTACCTTGTTAGCCTTCATTTTCCATAAAGGAAAGTTAATAATTTTAGTGCGGGGTTTTCTTTTTTCAGCGTTCATCTCATGCAAAATAAAAAAAGGTTAAATTTCAAGAGAATTATGTAAAAATAAATATATTTTATCTGGCTATTACAGCAAGGTTTAAGAACACATCTTATAAATTTGTTGTATTCATAGATTAAAAAAATGTTATTTACTAGAGAAACATCTTGACCATGGAGTCTTCCACATAATGTTTGGCAAACTGTAGTTAAGATTTAATATGTTGACTAATATGTCTATGAGGCATCCTCAGTGTCTGTTAATCTTCACTTATAGTTTTGACTGACTGTTGGACACTCTAGCAACTACCTGGAATGTCATGGTTTGTCTGTTTTCACCTTGGTTTTCCTAGTGTTTCTATGTTTCCCCAGTGTGTCTCAGCCCAGCTGCTCCCCATTTAGTCTGATTGTCACCCTCGTGTTTCTCACCAGGTGTTTTCAGTTCACCCATTAGTTGTCAGTGTATTTAAGTCCTGTCTTGTCTCAGTCTTTTGTCGGTTCATTGTGTTCTGTTCCCCCTTCCTGTGTGATCCTTGTACATACCTGTAAGTTTGAGCTGTCTCTACAGCAGTTTTTTTGTTACTTTAATAAATCTTTTGTTACTTTCATGGAGCCTGCCTGCAACATGGGTTTTTTCTTGCCAAATCCTGTCATGGAAAACATATCTCTCTCCTGATGGCACCATACTTTTTGGTGTTCAAACTACATCTCCATCACTGACCTGTATGTAAAACAAATTAGCTGCAAATCCAATTATTCCTTCCTGAACCTTTTCATTGAGAGACTGTGTTCATTACGATAAACAGTTTAAAAAGCACACAAAACTAAAGTAAATCATTAAGCAGTTTCTTTGGACTACTTCCTATTAAATTTGGAGAACGTTTGTTAAATGGTGTGTTTTTGCTGACTTCACTGATCATTGGCAAATCGTTTTAATGTCTAACATTCTGTAGGACCAAATGAAAGAGCTCAGCCCATGGTCAGTGTTTCCCCTACCATCATACAGCACCCCCACCAACGAGACGGCCCACCCCTCCAAGAATTTCACGGCATGCAGTCATTTTTATTTAAATAAGGCCAGATCAAGTCGAGAGCTATTTTTTCGTCCCTCCATATCCACCTCTCACCAAACTTGGGGAAAAAGACGGCGCTGAGCACTGTGTGTGGTCCTCACAAAGATAGGAAGACGTGTGTGTGATTAGACGCGCAGCTCTGCTTTTAATCACGTTGCACCGATGCGACAGCTTTGCAAGCTACTTTTTCTTTCTTTAAAAGAAAATGCGACAGGTGAAGCCACAGCATGGTTACTACCTTATCAATAACTACTGCCTTTTTTCCTTTCTCTGTGGGTTGGGGGTCAGCTTCACTCAGCTCAGGTGAACACCTCCCACATTTCCTGGACTATTTTCCACCAAGGATTACGTTGTTTTTTTATTTATTATATTTCTAAAAGCACTTCGCAGCATTTCCCCCTGTATGTTCATGTCACGAGCGAAACAAAACCGCGACCTATCAGCTGACTGGTTTTAAAGCGAGGGGCAGCGAATATGTCCACCTGCAGTTTGGCTCCGACCAGCCCGGGACTTAAAGTTCATACATGTCAACCCCTTCAGACGTTTAACGCGTTTAATGAGCATCAAAAATTTGTTATTTGCGCAAAAAATCAGTATTAATGGGGTGGGTGGAGTGGAGGTGCGCTGACCGCAGCTGCGCGGGGTGGTGGGGAGGAGGAGGATCTTTTAAAGATGCGTCTACATTTGACTTTTATTTTTTCTAAAATCACAGAGTTCTCTGAGTCAGCTTCAGATGTTTGTAGTTAATCATAATATCTTCTAAATTTAAACACGTGTTTCAATGCCTTTAAATTACACAAGAACTTTACTGGAGAAACTTGTCAGTTTGATTAAAAAAACAGTAAAAATGTTTTCTGTGCAGAGAACTTCCTCTGCTATAATTTATTTTAAATAAATATATCAAAGCCCCTCAGTTGAAAACACTAAAATTATAGAAAAGATGTTTAAAAACTTCTTTCCTCAGAAAGTCTTCAGTCCTAAGAACACTAAACTGTAAGTTTTAATAAGTACACAGTTTACTCCTATTTAATTAAAAATGTTTGACCTGTAAGCAGAAAGCTTAGGGATGTTGGTTTTTTATCTCTATTTCAAAGAAGAGGATGAGGAGGAGAACGAGGAAGTTCTCCTCAAGCAGCTCCTAAAACTGTCAACCTGCTGACCGACAACATTTGTATATATATTACAATTTTTATACAGAACAATATAGCCTACTTCATCATTCTTCCAGCAGACAAAGGAAGGTGCACAGTTATTCTGAAC